CGAGACCTTCAGCATAATGTGAGCCCAAATTACAACCACTAAAATAGCACAGTATTTGCCAGACATTGAAATAAACACTCGTTATATCATAACTGACACTAAATAAACAAATAATTAAATGTGAGAAACAAATAAACAATTCTTATTTACAAATGACTTATATTTCTCATGAATCCATTAGAGCCAAGAAGTCATTGTCTGATTCATTATCTTCATTGACACCGATATTCAAATCATTCATAATATTCTCTAAATTTGTAGTTTTATGTATTCCTTCGCTTATATTCAGTTCATTGAAAGCTATTTTATTATCAGTTGTCTTCTCTTGAGTGGAGTCTTCGTGTCCCAGATTTAGCCAAAACTCAATCTCCGAATCGTTTGGTTTCTCTCTTCCGATCAATTTTGCCAATAAATCCGATTCATGTTTTGCCGAATCATTGTTTTCGTTCAAATCACTCGTTTCCTCATTCATTTGAGCCTCACTTTTGGTCTGCTTTTCAGATAATTCTTTTTGCGAATATTCTTTAGTATATCTGAATAGAAAATTAATATTAATTTTTTTTATAATGATTAACAAATTGACGCGTGATTTACATATTAAGGCCTAGAGTTGTCTTATCAATGGAGACCGTGTATTGACCTAAAGGATCAAAACTGTCCACTTCTGTCACCTCATTGTTTGCATTGAAATATTTTATAACTCCCGGTATTTGACAATCACAGGATACAACTCCTTCGGGTTTGATCACAAACTTGCCGTCATTTTCTTGGGTCCCATCCCTAAGGAAAATGGAAACTCTGGTTTGGATGTCCTGTAAGAATGTGAGGATCGTATGGCGAATGTGTTGGAGTTTAGCCCAATTCATGTCTAAGTAATAATTTATAAATTTTTGTTTTGAGGCCTCAATTAGTTTGAGTGTATTGTCGAGTCGAGCCATTTTGCCCATTGAGTCCAAATGGTTTAAAGTGACATGTATTAGATCCAGTGGTGTATTACAGAATACTATTTGATGTTTGGTTACCATTACCATCAGATCAAACAACTATCGTTAGATAATGAGTCTTACATTGAAATGTTGATTCGTTAAGAGAAACAATGAATCAAATGAGTGAAACCTTATTCATGGATTGATCGTTGAGTTTCATGATAGAAGAATGAGCCAACTTCTCAAACATCTGTCTCATTGCATACACACTGACCAGAGTTTGCTTCTTGAATACATCTTGAATGAGCCCCGGATTAAACATTGCGTTAAATATATCGCTTATTACTGAATCGATTGGCAGACAATAAATATTAGTATAATTGATTCAATCATCTAATAAACTGGTAAAATGCAAACCTTTATCGGCTTTGGACACATCAATACTCTGTGCCGTAAGTCTTTGTTCAACGATGTAAATCATTTCACCCGAAAGATTAAAGTAAAGCACTGGAAACGCTTCCCTCGACATAATTGGCAATAATTAAAAGTTTTATTTTTAATTATTCTATTAATTAACTGTTTGGATGAATCATTAATAAAACTACACAAAAAAGTAATGTTTTGACTTAAAACTGGTTGTTATTCACTAATCTTAAGTTAAGTTTCGTAGAAAAATTAGCTAAATAACTAATTGAAAAATAAGTTTATCAAAAAATCTCCTTTATAATACATAATTTCGATTATTTTTCATTTACTTTGAATAAAACTTTCAATGTGCATACGATTATAGATTTTATAAATAATTTGATGAATGTAATATTTATTATTTATATCTTTTGGTAGTTTAATCACTGCACTTTTGCAATAACAATAATATTATACAGTGAACTTCTGTGTTCCAAACAAAACGGTTCCAGGGCATTTGGTTGATAGCATAGATTAGTTGACAGTATAGAGATCATTTTAACATTAAATCTATGTACTGTTTATTTGGAATTTGGTTGATAACATAGTATAGTTGATTGCATAGATGGTTGATAACAGACAAGTTTTACTGTAATATTTTATAATTACCATATAAAATGTGTAAATATTACATTGATTACTTAGATGGGATAATAGATATATGAATGCAAAAAAAAAAGAAAAAAATTAAATGATTAAATATCATAATTTATTATGAATTAAGCAGTCATTGCAATAGAATTGTATAAAAAATTAATGCATAAATATATGAATAAATATGAACCGATGTTTAACATGGGATCTGTTCGTAACGCAATTGAAAGCCTTTTTGTTCAGTCAAAGTGCCGATTGCGGCGTTCGTGTTAACCGGGTTTAGTGATTAGAATTCAATTCAAAGCATCTTTTTAATCGATTTATTGATTAACTTTTTATTCAAATAGTTTTTTAGAGGAAATATTATGTATTAAAGCTAATAAAAAGTAAATGAAACTTATTTTGAAAAATGTGCATATGATTATAGATTTTATAACTAATTTGATGAATGTAATATTTATTATTTATATCTTTTGGTATTTTAATTACTGTACTTTTGGAATAATAATAATATTATACAGTAAACTTCTGTGTTCCAAACAAAACGGTTCCAGGGCATTTGGTTGATAACATACAGTAGATTAGTTGACAGTATAGAGATCATTTAAACATTAAATCTATGTGATGTTTATTTTGAATTTGGTTGATAACATAGTATAGTTGACTGCATAGATGGTTGATAACAGACAAGTTTTACTGTAATATTTTATAATTACCATATAAGATGTGTAAATATTACATTGATTACTTAGATGGGATAATAGATAAATGCAAAAAAAGAAACAAATTAAATGATTAAATATTATAATTTATTATGAATTAAGCAGTAATTGCAATAGAATTGTAATTTTTTAATTACGTATTTATATACTTATTTATACTTGGCTACAAATTGTACCCTAGACAAGCATTGCGTTAACTTTCGGAAAAACAAGTCAGTTTCACGGCTAACGCCGCAAGCACAATTGGCCCAAGGCGTCTGAGTGCACGTACAGCTGGAATGGCTTCAAATAGGCTATATTTGGTATAACAAAGACATTACAATAACTGTATAACAATTTTATAAATGTGATTAAAATGAGTTAATAATTCGTACTAAAAACATCTTCATTCACATTGGATCCAAGAGGAGCCAGATTTGGACTCAATTTTTGTCCACAGAATCTGTTAACGAGTAGATTATTGCCATTTGCAGAACTGTCTGGTATTGTAATGTAATCCCCGGTATCAGTGAGAATATTGACGCAATTGGTCTCAACGCCGGATCGATCGACATTTATGCCGCCGAAGTCCATAGTATTGGCGGCCCATCGAATGCCACACATTTTGGGCTGTTTGGCAATTGTGATGCCGTAATGCATATTATTGAAGTAATTGGGAGACGGAAACACATTGATCTGTTGGAAGACACCCGGAAATGCCAGCGGAGCCAACACTTGTCCCGGCAGTAGAATCGGCATCGCTTTGCCTATACCTCGGAAGTTAAGACTTTCCACAATTCCTGATGGAGTGGTATAGTGTTGAAGACTACCGGAAGGCGCTGTCATTTTTTATAATTTTTTGTTTAACATAAGATCAATATTTGTTTAATAAAGCAATTATTTGCTCAATAAATACCTCTGAAGGGCGACCGGCACTCGACCTGTTGTATACGAATACTCCATTTCCGGTTATACTGTTGTTCGTTAGCCGTATTGACAATCAATAGGAGAGGGTCTTCCGTGGCCTTCGGGTCGACATCCAAATAAACTGAATGAGAAATATATAGAATAATATTTGCAAAAAATAACTGATAAGAAATGACATACTGTGTTGACCCGTGAGTTCTCCGCAAAGCCCTTCGCCGGGAAGACCGGATTGATTGAAATTAGTGGCTCCCGAGACGATGAAAGAATCGGTTACTCCGTTATTACACGTGCCGTTAATGGGCGGCGCGAGACTGAACTCTTCGAAATCAAGTCTGATCTGACATACGGGCCATTTGATGATCAATGGGTTTCGTTGGAGTGTGAATATACAATAGGGTGGGTCCAGACGTTCGGTGATGAGAGCCGGGTATGAGGGCGACACAAAATATGTCTCATTGGCTGTGATCACTGACTTACACGTTCCCTGATCTGTATTTTATAGCATATCGTTAAGGCCTAGAATTGATACAATAAAAGCAATGTTGAATATACTTACAAACACAACACGATAGCACAAAATTGCAAGAATTGGCAACATATCCACCGGAACTATATTTTATCATTAATTAGTAAGAATTAATTCATTTATAAAAATGAATGTTTATAATTCTGTATAGTCTAATGGGGCTAATATAGGACTGGTATCCCTCATACCTAAGACACGCTGCCTTTGGCATACATAAGCCTATTCTGTTGTCAGCGGTGGCCACACATTCACTTCTCGGCAGAACAGGCGTTAGGAATGAATTGATTACTGATTATATAAAAATGCAAAATTATATTAAGTTTTAATTAATTAAATTAAAAGTTTACAACACTTACTGCTTTGTGGCTCTAAACCGGGTCTGAATAGTTGACCTCCAGTGCTCTTTATGATAAAAATTAGAAAACAGACAATTGTTGGACAATACATGTCGAGAATATTATCGCAAATGATCTCCTAATGTAAGCGTCAGGTTATATAGGGATGAAAATTCGTGAATAACTGTACATAAAAATAACAGGATTTTCTCAAATTCATGTGAAGTTTATATTTGTTTAGCGAAACATCACTTTATTTTAATACAAATAGTTTTCCAAATATTATAGTCAAGTGTTTGAATGGATAAAAACAAAAATATATTTTGTTTGAATAATAATACCCAAATTTAGGCCTATATTGAGCCCATGAATGTTAGGGACGGGAGTATTGAACGCAAATATTGTTTAGTAAATAAATTTTAATTTCAACGATAATTCATACATATTATACTGTTTTACGATAAATTCAATTGATTTGTAATTCATTCGATAATAATTGAAACTCATATATAATTTACGAGACATCAAACTATTGAGACTTTAACAAAGAAATTGTATGATTAAATTGTTGATCATTGCGAGTGTAGAGCAGATCTGCCGCTTCTGCAAACATTCTGACGGCTGTCAAGCATTTGGCGGCGCCTTCAAAGTCCCCGCCATTCTTCCGATGTGTCGCCCATTGAGTCATAATATGTTGAATAACTTCTTCGCTCTGATACCTGACTTTTGCCACAATCAATGCCTCGCGGAATAAATGATTCAAAAGTAATAAATCGATCGCTTCTTTGATGCTATTTTGAGACACAAGAAGAACGGCTGACATCTCAATGGTATACATCTTATAAGAAGACATCTCTGACTCTGAATCGAGTAAATGTTGAGCCAATAGTTTACACGACTCTTTCCAGTGATTTCTCGAAGCGTATATCGAAAGGGAAACCAAATAAGGATTCGTCGCCTTCTTCTCAATCGATTCTTCAATCGTAGACTTAATGTCTACCAAAAGGTTTATGATATCCTTTTGTTCATTATTTCCTTGTTTTACGTGATTTGAAATCTCATTCCTAACAAATTCCTTAATGTCATCGTAATTGCCATATAATAGAGTTCTTTCACGACTTTCTTCAGATATATTCTGTCCATTGATTGTCTGAAACACGGCTTCGATGTCCTCTATTTTCTGATATTTTGTTGCACAGAAAAGTTACCATAATGAATTACCTTTATAACTTGTAAAGAAGACTAGAAATGACTGTCAGAAGAAGAAGAAACCGAAAACTTGAGACTTCGGTAAGCAAACAGGGCAAACAGGTAACTCACTTCTCTCGTTAACCACTTTATCTACGACCTCTTTAAGCACATTCGCCACACACTTCTCATCGCTCGGAACCGTATCGTCGAGATGTGGCCAATAATTATTCTCCTTTGAAAGCAACCTATCGTTTAGACTATTGTCAAAAACATTCATTTGTTTTGATGGACGCCACGCATGGAAGTAGTTATCCTCACCACCACTAAAGATAAGGTCCTCATCGAAAGCACTCCACACTACAGAATACAGTATTCCTCTGTGACCACTAAACTTAATCAATGGTTTCTCTTTCAATACATCCCAAATCAGTGCTGTCTTGTCATACGATACGGAAACCAATTTGTTTGAGTCGAATGGACACCAACTCATAGATGATATCCTATCGGAATGTCCTTTCAATATATAATTCGGTCGCGAAATTGTGGGAACACTAGCCGTGCCGTCGACTCCATTGTCAACACATTTAAAATAATTATATAACGAATAGCAGTGAATGTAATTGTCATAAGAACTGATGGCCAACCAATTGGACGTCTCTTCATCTTTATTTGAATTCCATTTGACGCATAGAATCGCTCTCTTGAATGAATAGATTCGTAATCTTAACTCTAATTTATTCTTCTGGTACTCAAAGATATCAACGGATCCGTTATCATTGCCGACACACAAGTGCTTATAATTTGATTTCCACATTATTTCTGTTCTTTTGATCTCTTCGTTGACGTAATGAATAAAATTTAAGACTTTATTACTTGAGATATAATGCAAATACATTTTCCCGCTTTGATGGACACAATAAAGAGTGGATTCTTCATTATCTTCCAAAGATGGTCCCCAAANAGTACGCGGACGGAGTCTTAGGGTCGATATCTCGCGACGGATTCGTTAAGATATGGGATGTATTCCGAAAGCATAACATCGCAGACATTAAATTAGATGCAAACAAATCCAAAAATAAGAATTGGTTTTCTTTAGCAGTCATTCCGAACAGCGGTTCCAATAAATTCGAGTTTATTATCGGCTCTGGAAGTGGAGATTTGTTGTGCATTGAAATCCCAAATAAACCGCCGGACAGTAAAATACGAGTTCACAAACCTTTGAGTTTTTACAAAAGCAAGTCTTTAAGTCACTCTTCAGTCGTATTCAGTATCGCTATTGACGTGAAAACAATGTTAGCCATCACTTCCTCACTCGACCACCAAATTATTGTTTGGGATCTCAACGAAAGGAAAGCCATCTCTTCATTGAATACATTCAGTTATGGAGTGCACGAGATATCTGTTTCGCCAATTGATCCAAAGAGAGTGGCCATCGGTATCGGCGAAGGCTATCAAATCAATCGATTTGATGAAGAGTTGAATGTTTTACAGCAAAGAAGATTTTCGCCTCAATTCAAATCAAAAGATACCAAGACTTTAGCCGTTGTCTGGCATCCAGAATATGAGAATCGTTTGGCTTACGGCACGTCATCAGGAGATGTGGTCGTTGTGGACATCCATTCAACACAAAAAGGTGCCAAATATTCTACTAAAAGACCTCCAATTGATTCCACAAAAATCTATTGTCTTGTTTGGGGACCATCTTTGGAAGATAATGAAGAATCCACTCTTTATTGTGTCCATCAAAGCGGGAAAATGTATTTGCATTATATCTCAAGTAATAAAGTCTTAAATTTTATTCATTACGTCAACGAAGAGATCAAAAGAACAGAAATAATGTGGAAATCAAATTATAAGCACTTGTGTGTCGGCAATGATAACGGATCCGTTGATATCTTTGAGTACCAGAAGAATAAATTAGAGTTAAGATTACGAATCTATTCATTCAAGAGAGCGATTCTATGCGTCAAATGGAATTCAAATAAAGAT